ATTGTAGCTCTTTTCTCAATGCCTTTTCTATCTTTTAATTTGGAATATAAACTGGGAAGAAACGAAGAAATGACAATCAGATATTACTTCCACCTGCTTTCTTTTTATTATTCATACTTTAGATTGCACACTGAATACAAATATTGATCAGAAGCCAAAAAGCCCCACACATTTCTTATCAACTCAATCCAAGGCCAATCTGTCTTTCAACTCTGCATTTTTATCTTCTTGCCTCACCACTTACTAAAATAAATATGTGAATAGCAATCTGATCCAAATAAGAATCTTTCATCTGTAATTATCTGAAACAGATTTAAAGAAGAGTATAGAGTCAATGCCTCTCACCAATTGCATCCTCAATGCCCATCCAGCCATGCTTGAATGTCTAGATTCAATTTACAGAGAATATGAATGTGCAACATTGTGGAGGGACACTTCTGGCAGATCCTGTCTGAGAGGGACAGAAGGTCAAACAGCGCCTTTGCTGCTCCATGACGGCGTTTCTGGGCTGGGTCAGAGGGTGGGAGAGCTCTGTCTGGATCTGGAATGGATCACTCACACAATTACGTTCTTGTCAGAACAACAAAGACAGACAGCACAGCTTCCCCAGGCAAGAGGACAGCCAGATGGAAAGGAACGATTTTTCTCCACTGACTTCAAAATTTGAAATGAGAATGAAAATTAATGATGGAAAAACACATTTCTAAGTTTTAGAACATACTCCTTCTTGGATGGCTGGGGTTACTATTTTGAGGTGATGTTGGGAAATCTTGGAAAAACAGAATCTGATTTTTCATCATTGGAAACTGGTTACTCGAGTAAAATAAAAATAACTTTTAAATCACTTTTGGTTCACAAATTAAGCCTATGAGAATATGATTTTAGTATAGGAGGTCCTCAACTAACACACCCATATGTTTATTCATTATACAGAGTTGATACCATGCTATTTGCATGTAGAATTTGGGTATTCATGCAGCAGCTGACAAAGTGGACATTTTAAAGTTTCTTCCCATTGATGCTGTCCACAAGCAACACTTTGCTTTGGCATTTTCTTCATCTTTGTCTGACATCAATGTTTGCTTTTGTTCAATTATTGGTAAAGAAGGAAGTGTGGAGCCAAAGGTGGCAATGATTAGGCTTGTCCTAAGTGGCAAATCTTAGGCTTTAAGCAAAAACTCATGCAATCAATTGTGAAGGAAGAGAATAAACAAGTGTGAAAAGTTAAAAAAAATCTACATCTGAAGGCTATCAAAAAGGTAAGGAACTATGTGCATCTGACTCCCCGAGCAGGACCTACTCTCAGCTCATGGACCACACCCCTCCCCTCCCAATACATCTACATCTACTATCACAATTTCAGTAATTTTGACTTCACCATACATTTAAAAAATATATATATATTTTATTGATTTTTTACAGAGAGGAAGGGAGAGAAATAGAGAGCTAGAAACGTCGATGAGAGAGAAACATCGACCAGCTGCCTCTTGCACACCCACTACTGGGGATGTGCCCGCAACCAAGGTACATGCCCTTGACCGGAATCGAACCCGGGACCTTTCAGTCCGCAGACTGACGCTCTACCATTGAGCCAAACCGGTTTCGGCCACCATACATTTTAGTGAAGGTGTCCTGGAAGGTCTCCCAGTCTAATTAGCATATTACCCTTTTATTAGTATAGCTAGAGGCCTGGTGCACCAGTGGGGGCCGGCTGGTTTGCCCAGAAGTGTTCCAGATCAGAGTGAGGGTCCCACAGGGGTGCCTGGGCAGCCTGGCTGAGGGCCATTTTTGTGATGGCCACAACCCCTTTTGAATATGGAGTCCCTGCTGGGATGCCTGGCCAGCCTGGGTGATGGGTTGATGGTTGTTTGCAGGCTAGTCAAGCCCCTCAGTAGGGACCCTCACCCCATGAGGGTGTGGCCAGCCTGAGTGAGGGGCTGCGGGCTGTTTTCAGACCGGCCATGCTCCCTGATGACCCAAGCTCCCAGGCCCTCCTTTTTTTCAGCACCCCCTTGAATGGAGGCCAGGGCTGGCTGGAAACAGGTATCTGGGACTTACCTATCTTTTATAATTGAAACTTTGTAGCCTTGAACAGAGGCCAGGGTGGGTAGAAAGCTTGGCTTCCTCCATCGCTGGGGGCAACCCAAACTTCCTGTTTGCTCCAGCTCCATGTCCGCTGCCATTTTAGTTGGGTTAATTTACATACTTGCTCCTGATTGGCAGGTGGGTATAGCGGAGTGATGGTTAATTTACATGTTTCTATTTTATTAGTGTAGATAAAACTGAAATAATATGGTTCTTGTCCATTTCCATCTGACTTATTTCACTTAGCATGATATTCTCAAGATCCATCCATGCTGTCGTAAATGGCAATAATTCATCTTTTCTTATGGCTGAGTAGTAGTCCATTGTATATATGTGCCACTTCTTTTTTATCCAATCATCCATCAATGAATAGATTGTTTCCATTCTTGGCTACCACAAATAATGCTGCAATGAACACAGGGTTACATATATTTTTATGAATAAATGTTTTCAACTTTTTCAGTTTGATGCCCAGTAGAGAGATTGCTGGTTATACGGTAGCCCTTTTCTTAATTTTTTTTGGAAACCTCGTACTGCTTTCCACAGACGCTACACCAATTTACATTCCCATCAGCAGTGAATGAGGATTCCCTTTTTGCCACATCCTCTCCAACACTTGTTATTTTCTATCTTATTGATATTAGGCATTTTAACAGGTGTGAGGTGGTGATTTATTATGGTTTTGATTTTCATTTCCCTTATAGGTAGCGAAGTTGGACATCTTTTCATATATCTGTTGGCCATCTGTGTGTCCTTCTTGGGAAAAGGTACTTTGCTCATCTTTATTGGGAATTTTTGTTGTTGAATTATATTTTAAAAAATATATATTTTGGATATTAGCCTGTTATTAGAAATAGTATTTGTAAATTTCTTCTCCCATTGGGTTGACTGCCTTTTTGTTTTGTTGATGGTTTCTTTTGCTGTGCAGAAATAAGTATTTTAGTTGCTATAGTCCAATTCCTTTCTTTTACTTCTCTTGCCTTTGGGGTCAAGTTCATAATAGTTTTGCATCTATGTATTCTTCTTTGTATTTTATTGTTTTAGGTATTCAAGTCTTTTAATATATATATAAATATATTAAATGTACACATTTATATGTATATATATATCCACACATACATATTTATATAAAATATATTGATTTCATAGAGGGAGCGATAGAAACATCAATGCTGAGAATCACTGATCAGCTGCCTCCTGCACGCCCCACAATGAGGATCAAGCACACAACCTGGGATGTGCCCTGACTGGGAATCGAGCTGTGATCTCCCGGTTAATAGGTCAATGCTCAACCATTGATCCATGCTGGCTGGGCTATATTCAAGTCTTTAATTCATTTTGAATTAATGTTTGTGTATGGTGTCAGAAAGCAATCTAGTTTATTCCTTTGCATGTGGTTTTTTCATTTTCTTAACATCATTTATTGAAGAGGTGTTCCTTTCTCTACTGTGTTTTGAGTTCCTCTGTTGAAAATTAGTTGCTCATATATGTGTAGGTTTATTTCTGGGCTCTCAATTCTGGTCCATTGGTCTGTGTGTCTATCTTTGTGCCAGACTCACACTGTTTTATTTTAGTTTTGTAGTATAATTTAAAGTCATAGGGTGTGTATGGTACCTCTGGCTTTACTTTTCTTAGGACTATGTGGGCTTCTTGGATCTTTTGTGGTTACAAATTTGAGATTTTTTTTGGTTCTATTTCTTTGAAAAATGCCAGTGGGATTTTGACGGGGATTGCATTAATTGTGTTTATTGCTTTCGATACTATGGCCACTTGAACTATGTTAATTCTTTCAAGCCATGAACACAGACTATCACTCCATTTCTTTGTGTCTTCCTCAATTTAACAATATCTTACAGTTTTCAATGTATAGGTCCTTTATTTACTTAGTTGAATTTATTTCTAAGTATTTTATCCTCTTTGTTGCAAATGTTAATGTGATAGTTTTCATTATTTATTTTACTGGTATTTCACTGTTAGTATAAGGAAAGCAATGAATTTTTGTACACTGATTTTTGCATCCTGCAACTTTGCTGTATTTGTTTATTGTTTCTAAGTCTTTAGGATTTTCGATATATAGAATCATATGATTTGCAAATAGAGTATTACTTCTTCATTTGCTTTCTGGATACTTTTAAAATTTCTTTCTCTTGTCTGAATGCAGTGGCTAGGACTTCCAGTACTATGTTGAATAACAGTGGTGAAAGGGGGCATCCTTGTCTTGTCCCTGATCTTTGAGGGAAAGCTTTCAATTTTTCGCTAACGAGTATGATATTGGCTGAGGGTTTGTCATATATGGCCTTTATGGTACTTTCCTTCTATAATATATCCATTTTATTGAGGCTCAATAGTTACTAAATGTCATTTTTTCCATCCAGTCTGATCAAAGATTTCAATTCAGAATAGCATTTTATTAACTTAAGACCCAAAGAAGGAATATTTTCTTTTATAATGCTTAGTAAAACATAGAGAATAAGATGGGCATTTGTCATAGGTTAAATGGTAAGAAAGAAAAGGTCCAACAACATTTTATTTTTAGTTGCTAGTTGTTTCTCAAAGGTCACACAAAGCAGTGAGCTAATCATTAAAGACAAAGTACACTATCTCATCCTCTTTTTAGAGTCTGAAAGGACCTTTGGAACCATCTAGTTCAATTTCTTCATTTCTTCTTAATTGACATAATTGATTAGAGATTCTATAGGCTATAAGTACCTCTTCTTGGGAGAGCTCATCTTTCCATGAAATGCCTCAATTTTGTAAGAAAATCATGATCACTTATTTTTCATGTTATATGTTATGGTATGACAAACACATTTTGAAAACTTCTGCCCTTCTAAAATCCAAACATATGTTTTCTTGTAGGCACATGCATGTGGAGCACCTCTGGCTTGCATGATTTCCCTTAACCAGTTTTCCAGTTACAAAATACATGAATGAGTAAATCTTGGAAAAGGGATGACATCTTTGATATTGTCAATTCCCAAGATGCATTGCAGGTAGCGTTCAAATCCCATCCCAAAACCTCCATGTGGCACAGATCCAAATCGACGGAGGTCCAGATACCTGATTTTGAGAAACAGAGAATCATAATCTATAATGCTGTATAGGGTCAGAGTTTATAATGGAATTTATGTTTCAAAGTATTTTGTAATCATTTATCATTCACGTCTTTGTGGTAGACCATACTAAAGGACATGAAGAAATTAAATTACAAGAAGGTATGTCCTATTAGATTAGACTGTCAGCTACATCAAAGGCAGGACCTGCATTTTATTCACTCTTCCATCTCCAGTGCCTGCTCTGGAGTAGACGCTTACTTTATAAAGATTCATCATTTGAAGGTACAAAAATATACTCGTGAGCACTGGAGTGAGGAGAAACTTCCAGTTCTCTGCTTCACACCTAGTGAAAGGTGTTCGGAGTAATTTTTCTGGAAGGCTGGGCAGCCTCTGAAGCCCATTCATAAACATTCTGTTCCCTCTTAAGATGGCTAAAAAATGCCAATATGGCAACCTGGGATACAGGTATTTTAGGAAAGAAGAGGAGGAGGAAGATTCTATAAATCTTCTTATGTCATTTGGTGGGAGAATTTTTGAGTTACATAATATTAAGATAAATTTAGAGCTTCTTGAATGATTTGAAAAAATCAGTTCCCGAATGGAACTTCAACACCATAGCTGGGAGTCATTTGGCTCCTCCAGGATAAAGACTTATTTTCCCACTGTTAACAATCATGGCTACATGTACAGGTATTTTTTGTGGTTAAGAATAAGTAATTATTTTTCTAAAATAAAATATGAACTACAATTAGGTGAGTTAGAACCAAGTGAGAGATCTACACACAGGAACATCTAGCATAAAACTTCAAATCAGTAAGAGCTGTCAGGAATAATGGATGGAACATAGTCATCAACAATTAAAATGCTTGGTAGCTGAATTAACTTTATGTTTATAAGACACAGGGGCAGGGTATACTTTGGTTTAGTGAGAAAGCAAGATGAAGGGCATATTGAATCACTGCCACAAACACCTGCAGGATCTGAGCTGGCAGCTAGCAGTCCAGCTAAAGCTTTAGGTGGTTCTAGATTTCTCATACCTTGATGTAAAAACACTGATATAAATGTCTGGAAAATGAACTCAGCATTTTTCTTGCCTTTGCTTTAATAGATGGAAAAAGCCAGTTCTTAGAAACAAGTTTTCTAAAGAATATGTATTTGATGAATTGTTTATTCTAGGGTAGCCAGATTATAAAAGAGATGGTACAGAATTTGTGGAACTAGTTACAGGTTTTACTTGCATTTGGCATGTAGAAATAGGAAGTGGGTAAATTCTTAGACACCTGGCGTGGCCACTCAGAGTGGGTAGAACACTAGCAGAGGTCACAGACTTGAAGATTTTGGAAACCCCTTCTACCTTTTCAAATAATATGGTAACCATTTAAAAGGAAGGACCTTCAAATAATAAATCTTTATATTCGAAGAGCTTAACAGTTTGACAAAACTTTAGTTGGAAAAGAAATAGTATTGAAATGATCAATAAGGACCAGAAAAGGCCTAAATTTATTTAACCAATAATTAAAATTTGCATTTAGCTAGTTTTCATATACTTGTAGACAGAAATCGAGGTAAAATGCATACGCTTGATCAGTCAGGCTCATCTACCTAATAGCAGAAGTCAGGACAAAGGAAGGTGGGGGTAGGGGTGGCACTAGCATTTACTGAGCTTCTGTTCTATGTAGATACTTAACCTATATTGTCTCATTTCATCCTTACAACACCCTGTGAAATAATTTTATCATTCCATCTTTTAGCCAAGAAAACCAAGACTCGGAGAGATTAACCAAGCCTAAGGTCATTTCTGATAAAAAAAAAACAAAGGCATTCAAGGCCTATTACCTAAACCCAATTTTAGGCTTTTTGCATTTCTGAAATTTTAGTTCCTTCGTTTCCAAAAGATAGGTGTGTAATCAGTTCCTTTCTTCTCCTGAGAACAGGTGAAGAATTAATAATATTGTTGATAATATTATACCAATATCCTGAAAGAATCTATTACAGAAATATAAATAAAAATTCTGCATATATGAAAAAGTATCTGAAGAAAGAGTGTGAGAAAAGAAAACCAGAAAACTTTGGAGAAATAAATGTATGAGTGCAGACAGGTGGTCTTCCCTAAGCAGCTTAGATTTCTAAGGTAGGTGAAGATCACTTAGGGGTCACTTAGTTCAAGCCCCTAATTTCACATAGAGAGAAACTGAAGCATAATGGTTAGGAACAAAGTCCCAGATCTATGCTTTCAACTGCTATGCTCTTAGTGAAATTAGTTAACATCTCTAGGTCTCAGGTCTGGAGGCACAGTTAAAAAGGAGCAAGAACAGTACCTAACTCACAGGGTGTTATGCTGTTTACATGAGGTAATATACACCAAAACTGTAACACAGTTGTCCAGCTCACAATAAGTAATAAATAAATGTCAGCCATTATTACTATTTTTCTTTTTCTTTTTTTTCATTATTGCTATTCTTCAAGGACTCAAAAAAAAAAAATCTTCTGTGAACTTGTTCATTGTTTTTAACACTCTTTCATACAGCCTTGGAAATACAAGTAAAAACTATGTAATGCTCAAACAAACAGCTAGAAGAATCATTAGGGGTTTCCTTCTTACCATTGGTAGGCTTTTGTCAGTCCTGATCTGTAAAAGGAATACAACAGAATTATTTCAGAGAATGTCAGTAAGGTAAACATACTAACCACTAAATATCTGTTCTGGGTTGTGTGCTCTTTACAAAGAAGTGCACACCAAAACTCATGCTCTCAAATAACATGAAACCTGGTTGAGGGGCTGAACCTTTACTGTACGGTCATAAAGGCAAGTTCAATAGTCCCAGGTGTTATCAAATAGTCAATAAATGCTTTAGAAGTATGACCCAGGGGTTCACTTGGATGAGTGTATTGTCCTGTCACACAAGAAAGGACTATTACTACTACTGAAGGTTGTTGGAAGGCACACACAAACAAAGGACACACAGACACATCTTTCACTGTAACATTAAAATAATATAGATTCTGAGGCTACCTTCATAATATGATTGCTAATTGGCTGTTGCCAATTAAGTGTTAAAAGTTTGTAGCTTTTAGTACTCATTTAAATTAATTCCAGTCTTTTAAAAAAGTGTTTGGGACAAATATATCTGAAGTGATCAGGACAATGAAAAACACAAATATACAAAAATATAAAACACATAAACAGAAGTCACAGACGGATCAGAGAGAGATGGAAATGCATATCCATTTCACTAGAAAAGATAAATTTGGATATTATCAGATATTAGGCAAATATTTAATGTTATGAGGAAAGGTTTCCTGAAGGAAGGAAGCAAGCAAAGAAAACAGAGCAATTAATCTTTCAACAGACGAGGTTTCTTGCCATGTGTGATTTTTATTGTGTTTAAAAACAAAAAAAAAAACAAAAAAAAAAACCACCCAGTGAATATTTAAATTCTTTCCATCTAAGGAGTTTGACCTTTACTTCAATTCTATGATTTTCCCAGGACTTTCTAACATGTTGGTTGTGGTAAGGAGTCAGAACTCCAATAAAAAAGAGTCCTCCCAAAACATACTTACCCCTTTCTTCTGGACCCTAACCAAATAGAGCAGTTCAAGTAAATAGGATTACAAAACCAAGTTGCCGAACAGATTTATAGGTTGAAACCTTGGAAAACATCAACCTTTTAAGCATTTTTCCATTAGGTAACGAAGGCCTTACAAATTGCAATGTAGCAGGCAGGATATTTTCAAACAATTATGGCTTTTCCAGGTTACTTTCCAGGTTGCTCTAAAAAAAACAGTATTATCTGGAGAGAAGGATTATACCTTCAACATGGGAAAGCCTTTAAAAAAAAAATGGTTGGCACAGCAAAAGTGGAAAACAGAGGTTTATAACCCTTGTGAGTTTAGGAAGTCATTGTGGTGTGTTGGCAGACCATGCATCTATGGAAGTGGAAGTTCAATTAGAAACATGATTCCCCATTTCTCTTCTCCAAAACATTTTCTGTGTGTTCACCAATTCATTTCCCAGGCATTGGACAGAGAGTTAAGTAAGTTATTTAAATAGTTAAATCAAGACTCTTACACAATGTAGAAAAAATCTGAGGAAGAGAAAACTGCTTTTCCTAAATAGCTTAGCAGGTATTTTTAGTATCTTTCTATTTCCATCTTTATCCTTTCCCTGGTTCAGAGTCTGTTTCTTTATGGCCCTACAGGACTCATAATTTAGAGTATATAAAAAGAACACAGAGAAGAGAAAAATAAAAATGAAGGGCCAGCTTTAATGGGGAAATCTTCCTCCTTCCATCATTAACTTTCAGTTTTTATTGTGGCCTTGTTTCATGTAACAGTTCCATTTGTTAAGAAAGGGAAGCTGAGAAAGATCCAGTAAGAACTCGCGCAAGGTCACTAGAATCTGAATTTCAGGTCTGCCAGTGGCTGGCTGCGGCCTGTGAACTGTCCCCTGTTACTTTGTCATGACTGCCTCTGAGTTTCCTGTCCCCGATTTCTGAATTTTGTTTCTTTTAGGTCTGACCAATACCTGGCCAGCCGCTGCTCTAAGAAATGATACCGCTCCTCTCGGAGGCTTCCTCCAAAGAGCTCTCCAACTCCGGGAACCAGAAGGTCAACAGCAGCAACCTAAGAAGGATACAAACAAACAGAACATGGCCATTATTTTCAGGGGATTCAACAATTATCATGTTCTCAAGCATATAAAACTTTTAACATTTGGACAATTAACTGCTCACCAGAATCTTATTTATGTTATTTGTTCACGTTCCCTGTTTCAGTATGAAATGTTTAATATCATCTTTAGAACGCACGCTAGACAAATTGCAGGTGGATAGTTTCCTCTCCCCTCGTGCACCCTTTTATGCAGTGTACTTAACAAAATGTGTTTTCTTCACAAATGTGATACAAATGTTAATTATAAAAAAATGTGGAAAATATTAAAAATTATGAAATATTAAAAATCACATCACTACACAGAAGCACTACACATTCTGGCATATTTCCTTTCAAGTTTTCTTCTTATACATTTAAAGAGTATGTACGATTTATTGTTTTTATTGAACTGCTTTCCTTTTGTTGAACATGTAGGGGTACATGTAAGTTTGTTTTCTCTTATAAATAACGTGACAATGAAGATTTTTCTTTACTTTGTAGTATTTTGTAAGATATCCACCTGCAATTTTTATAGCATGTATTGTAAAATATGGTCTCATTATTACAAAGAACTACGAATTAAATCTACAAGATAAAATTTTGGAGTTATCAAAGCGGTGAAGATAAGAAAACAGCATAAATGAGCTGGACTAGAGAATGCATCAACCAGTGCTCTTGTACATTTGATACAGCCTTTCTGTCAGCAATTTGGCAAAAGATAATCAAAAGCCTTAAAAATGCAATATGCTTTGACTCAACAATAATGGTTCTAGGAACCAGTCCCAAAAAATAATTTGAGATACAAAAATAAGATTGACAGGATGTTTATTGCAGCATTACTTATAATGACAGGAAATTTACGTGCACATCAATGAGACTTAGATACATTATAGCCATGAGTAAGAAAAAGAATGACTCTATATCACGAAATGTTAATTGCATTGCCACTGTGACATCTTTCATCTGTATTTCCTTATTTTCTACAATGAAGATATATTTTTGTAATAAAAAACAACAAAAATATTTCTTTTCATTTTATGTAAATAGTTTTAGAATTGAAGGCATAGAGAAGTACCACATTATTTTGTAGTTTATAAATAAATATTAAGAAAAAGTTCAAAAGAAAAACCAACAAAACATTTTTCACAGGAAAAAACAGTAACTTGATATTTTAATTTATGTTTCTTTGATTATTCTTTGCTTGATTAAAGACTGTTTTATTTGCTATCTCTATTATCTTGTGACTTGACAATTCTTTGGGGAGGCAGGTAGACATTTGTAAGGTTAAGAATATGAAGGCACAAAAACAGAATGCAATAAACAAAAAATTAGGAATCGGTAAAACACTTTTATTTTTAAATGCCACATTATATTATCTGCTCTTCTTAAACTTTGCCTCGTTTTACTTTTAAGCCATCCCCTTGTTTTGATTTCAGAACTTAAAAAAATCCTCACCTGATATGTTTATTGATTTTAAAGAGGAAGAGAGAGATAAAGATAGAGAGACAGGGGGAGAGAGAGAAAAACATCAACAGGTTACCTCCTGTGTACACCCTGAGTGAGGATCCAACTCGAAAACTTTTTGGTGACAAGGTGATGCCCCAAGTAACTGAGCCACCTGTGCATGGCTGACTTTAGAACTTTTGATTGAGATAAACTTCACAAATAATGGAGAATAATAAAGAATATTATAATTCAAGAATATGCTTTAAATACTATATACCTTATCCTTATCCTATATAATAAAGTAATATGCAAATTGACCATCACTCCAACACACAAGATGGCTGCCCCAATGTGGTCAAAGATGGCTGTGCCCATGTGGACACAAGATGGTCACCACAAGATGGCCAGCAGGGGAGGGTAGTTGTTGGTGACCAGGCCAGCAGGGGAGGGCAGTTGTGGGTGATCAGGCCAGCAGGGGAGGGCAGTTGGGGGCAACTAGGCTGGCAAGGGAGGGCAGTTAGGGATGACTGGGCCAGCAGGGGAGGGCAGTTAGGGGTGACCAGGCCTGCAGAGGAGGGTAGTTAGGGGTGAGCAGGCCTGTAGGGGAGGGCAGTTGGAGGCTACCAGGCCGGCAGGGGTGGGTAGTAAGGGATGACCAGGTTGGCAGGGGAGGACAGTTAGGAGTGATCAGGCTGGCAGGCATAAGTGGTTAGAGTCAATCAGGCAGGCAGGCAGGCAAGCAGTTGGGAGCCAGCAGTCTTAGATTGTGAGAGGGATGTCCAATTGGAAAGGGTGTAGGCTGGGCTGAGCATCCCCCTTCGCAACATCCCCCTCTCCTCTAGTTATTATCATAAAAGAGAAAACATTAGGCAGGATTTTTATCACTCAGCGGAAATGAGAGAGAAGAGAAACAGTTCCTCTTACTAAAGTCTCCTATAGTCAATAAACTGGTGAGGACAAAGTGTACAACAGGCTTGTTGTCATGCTAACACAGCTTGTTGACCACATCCTAGTAATTCTTCTATGAACTTGTTTGGCCTACAATGAACAGGCAGGTATTTTAGAACATGGATTTAGTGATTAAGGCATGACAGTAGGCAATGAATCAAACAGCACTGGATAGGTGGACAAGAGAGGCTTACTAATGTGACGAGGAAATTCTCATGGATTCCAATCAGGACCCTGTAGTTACCCCTTCTACCCTCAGAGAAAGGAGAAGGTTCAAGGGAGTTTTTATGGCTACAGAAAGACTGGCTAATTTATTTCCTAGGATCCTGAATTTAGACATGGCTAAACTATGCTAGGAATTGAGACAAATGATGAAATTTGTTCTGGATTTCAAGTTTTAAATTTAGAATTATAGGCAACCAGGGTTGGAAGAAGACAAACAACCAAGAAGTTCTCTGGCCTTTGCTTGAAAATACTTAAAATTCTGGGAACCACTGCCTCTGAAACATAGCATCCCATCATAGTGTAGGTCTGACTGTTAAGAAGGGATAGGTGTATCTAAAACCTGTCATTTAGCCCTAGCCAGTTTGGTTCAGTAGAGTGTTGGCCTGTGGACTGAAGGGTGCGGGGTTTAATTCCAGTCAAGAGCATGTACCATGGTTGCAGGTTCTTCCCCGGACCTAGTCCTGGTTGAGGCCCATGCAGGAGGCAATCAGTCAATGTGTTGCTCTCGCATTGATATTTCTGTCTTTCCCTCTCTAAAAATCAATGGGTGCTCTAGCTGGTTTGGCTTAGTGGATAGAGCCTTGGCCTGCAGAATGAAGGGTCCCGGATTCAATTCCGGTCAAGGGCAGATGTCTGGGTTGCAGGCTCATCCCCAGAGGGGGGAGATGCAGGAGTCAACTGATCAATGATTCTCATCATTGATGTTTCTATCTTTTCCTCCCTCTCCCTTCCTTTCTGAAATCAATAAAAAATATATTAAAAAAATAAAACAAAAATATCAATGGAAAAATATCTTCAGGTGAGGCTTAAAAAAAGAAAGAAATCATTTCTAAAATAAACAATAAATAAAATATATCATTTATTTCTAAAGTTTCAAAGTTGGGGCGATTCCAAGTCACAAAGGAAGGCAGTAATTGCTTGTGATAATAATTCAAGAATGCAAGTACATGCAAAGCTTTAAGAGGCAGAGCTAGAAAGGCCTACTGCCTCAAAAAGGCTGCTGGAGAATCAGCTATGGTGGCAGAACAGCAGGTAGGTAGTCTTGCTGAGGCTGGTGGCCAATGAGGAGTAAACGAGGCTACTCTGGATGAGTTGTTCTGCTTACTGTTAGTTCATAAGCATCAAACAAGAGCTCCATTTCTTGCTTGGTCTTGCTTCTGAAATAACTAAAACAAGCAAAAAACCCTCTTTGGATCTTAGCACTTTTTGCAGGCCTAAATTTTATTAACTTTGGGATGTAGCTTTTCATTGCTATTTTTAGAGGAATGTAAAAGACTCATATTTATCTCTGATTACAAAACTCCCTTATTTTACTATCTGAGTTCACTGGAGAACTCAACCTGAAACTATACAAGTTTTTGATCTTTCTGCCTGGTTTTTGTTAATCTTGAATATTTGCATCTGCCTAGAAACAGTGGTGAAACTGGAAGCTTCTGAACCTTCTGAGTCATCTTCAAACTCTTATGCCATAGTATGATATCTACATTTTTATTTCCTGGATTTCTTTCAAACCTGTCTTCCTAATAACCAATATATCTAATTGATTAAACCCAACTATTTCTATATTGGCTATCATAAAATTAGTGTGGTAGTTGCTATATTAGCTAAGATAGGTTAGGTTATGCTGTATTAATAATAATCCCAGAAGTTTACAACAGGGTTTCTCAATCTTAGCATTAGTGACATTTTGGGCCAGATAATTGTTGTAAGGGCCTGTCCTGTGCATTGTGAGACATTTAGCAGCATACCTGACCTCTACCCACCAGATGTCAGGTGCACTCCCCTCATTGTGCCAACCCAAACTGTCTCCTGGGTAGGGACAGAATAACCCCTGATTGGGAACAACTGCTTTGTAACAATGAACTGCCTTTCAGAAACTCATGCAGGATTCCAAGATGGCTGCAGAGTAGCTGAAAGCTCAGTCCATTTGCTCCCAATAGCAAACCAGATTTGTGGCTACACTGCAGAGCAATCGCCTTGAAAAACCAGTAAAAGTGTAGCTGATCTGAAACACGGAGAGCAGGGAGCATGGAGGAGAGAAAGGAGGAGACATGAGAGGATGAGCCAAGTCGCACCAAGCGCGTGGCTTTGATATTGTGGCAGTGGAGCCCCACACCATGAGAGTGTGTGGCCTCAGCTCCACCCAGTGATCCCCAATCCAGAGCAACAGAGAGGGAAGGGGAGCCCACATAACATTGGGTGGAGGGAATCAATGGGGACCTGGTCCACTTGGGAAATTCAGACCAGGTAATCCCAGGCAAAAAGCGATTTCTCTTTGTTACAAAACCACTCTGGGAAGTTTGCTCTGCTCATTTCCTAGGGCAAAAAAACCCCCAAAAAACAAAAACAAATGA